ACGATCCACTATCCAAGAATATCATGATAATATTTTAGTCATATTGCCCATCCGTAGATTCCAGAATAAAAGAAAAGACAGCATCAGTGTTTTCTGTAAAATTTTTCAACTCAAGGCAAGGTTTTACATGCCCCACATGCGTATATGCACACACAAACAACTGAAACTAAAATAGTATTAAAATAGCCCTTTGGTTCACTTCCTTCATTGTTTCTTAGAAAAATAAACTGAAGATGTTCCTTTTAATTAAAATGAAGACTGGGAACAGAAATCAGAAAAAACCTGATTGCAGTTATAACAAAATTAAGGGATTAACATTATTTATACAACTACAACTGACACAAAAAAAATATTGAAGAGGTCAGGGATGTAAAGAAATAAAATTCATGCAAAATGACTCATTAGCTACTGCCTTTCCAGGCAAACACCATCTCAATTTCACAACATCCATTGCATTCAGTTTGCAAATTTGATGCAAAAATGAAACAAGCTGAGAACAAGCAAGCAAAGAATAAAGCAAAAAGTCTCATTATCGCTCGGAGTTTTACCTACTCAGCCATAAAAGGAAGTACACCACCTCACCCATACACTGCCGGCACTAGGCTTGAAGGACTACGATCAAGAGGATGGTCAAGCCAGCACTGCTCGGTGCCTGAGGCTGGGGACAACAGGCAAAGGGAACCGTAGGGTCATATGTTAGGGTTACAACCTGGATAGGATGCCTGGCCATGGAAGGGCACGTACTCGATCCAGGTAACTTAGAGAAACCATTTAATATAACTGCATGTCACTGGGAGGAAACCCACACAACACAGGGACATTATGTAGCAAAAGCTGGAACTTTTTGGCCTAAATTTGACACATTACATATGACAGATAACCAAAACAGAGCCTCACATGGCCGACAGTGACACTGATATCAGACTTTGAGGAGGGGGGGGGGTACCATCAGACCCCACCAATGTGGTTCATAATGGGAGACATAATGGGAGAAAAAAAGGGGTGGACAAGGAGTGGCTGAAGTGTGAAAGGCTGAGCATCTCTGAGCGACCCAGAGAATGTCTTAGTTCTGTTTAGAAACTGAACAATGACTGTCCTGAAGTGATTCCAAGGAAAGAGGGAGATTCAATCAAACCTGCCAAGAAACACAGGCAAAAAACACACAAGCCAGTCACTGAAAGCTGGGAGAGATTTAACCACAAAGACCTTAGGACTTAATCACTGGAAAAAGTGCTTTCACCAAAACCAAGACTCTGAAGGTTTGTTTTCAATTAAAAGTTAAAAAAAAATTAAATGTGCCATTTTTATCTGCTAAAAGTTGAACTTTCAGGATCTAACTTGTACTTTCATTGTGGCCAGATAAAATCTTACGTGTGTGTGAATCTTTCGGTAATTTCACATTAAGGGACACCAAAAGCAGGGCCTGACACCTTTGAAAGACACCACTGTACTCAATAACAGCATAAGTCAGTCTGACAAACTTTTTACCTGGTTTAGTGAATTATGTTAACACCAAAGAAAATCCCTTCCGTATTTTGGCATGGGTGGCAGCTACCCAGGAACACCGCTGCTGGGCTGGTTTCAGTGAACATCAAACAAACAAAATACTTAAATACATATTGTGCTCAAGTGTTTCAGAGGAGGCCACAATAACCGTTCTTCTTTCCAGTTCAGTGCTTAACACTAAGGTGCAGCAGTTTCCAATTAAAGTTTACAGATTATGGGAGAAGCTGTCAGTGTTAGAATTAGGATTAGTCGCCTAACAACCTGTTACAGGGTTGCCAACTTTGGTCAGCTGGCTAGCGTGAAATTTTCAATTCGAGACAGGTCTGTACACGTATGTAACAGTTTTATTACCTTGAAAATAGTCTGTAAGGGTTGCAAACTACCCCAATGCTTTCGATGTAGCTAATTTTAGGTTTATACTGGAATATAAATTTGCCGTAAGACATTTTCGTGAGAACTGAAAGCGTAAGTGACAGCAGCCCTGCCTGTACTCTACATTAACTAAGGTTAGACATGATTGATTGATAGATAGATAGATAGATAGATGTCTTTATTGTCACTATACAAGTACAGCGAGATTGCGTTGAAGCAAAGAAACCAGCAGATGCAAAGAAAAGCAACATTAGGGAAGAGAAAAAACTAAGTCTAGTAATTAACTAAAATAAAGTAGGTAATTTAAAATAATAGAATAAAATATAAATGGTAGAATCAAATAAAAATGAAATATAAAATAAAATATAGTGTAATGTAATAATAAAATAAATATAAAAAGTAGGTAAAGTTTGAGTAAGATAAAAAATATAAGTCCACAGAATGTTCACAGTATGAGTAATACTGATTAAAGTGCCATGTGGTTAAGGTGCAAGTGACAGATGCAATGACAGAAAGTGGTACAGTGGTACAGTGGTAACAGGGGTATGTACAGTTGAGTAAAGTGCATGAGTATTGCACCACAATTATTACACCGGCTAGATGCTCAATGTGATAAAAAGCGTAAGAATATTGCACAACATTTATTATTGCACTGAGGTAGACAGCATCATGGCGGCGACTGTGAGGTGGTAGTGTGTGCATGAATGCGCTTCCACGGACAAGTCCAGTAGGTATGGGTGTGTGTGCGTGTGCAAACTAGTCAAATTCAGTCCAGTGAGTGATCCAGATCATATCAGTGCTCCACATCACCGACGGGCACTGACAGTATTACTAAACACACTAGTAAACTGTAAAAAAAAAAAAAAAAAAAGTTCACTAAGTTTAACAGCCTCAGAAAAGCTCACCGCCTCAGTAGATTGACAGTAAAGCAGTCTCGCATTACTAAGAAAACAGATCCTGGGTACCGATACCTGACGGTCTAGTAATTAACCAAAAAGCTCGCCAGTTACACACAGCTGGGCGAACAAAACAGAATGACGGCTACAGGTAGCCACAAGCAAAGGCGAGATCCTGCAAACGTCTCCCGAAGCGAGGCGTGAGGGCGGAACCTGGCAGGTAAGCACCGACCCGCCTCATCTGCGGGTCCGAGGCGACCCAGACCAGCGGAAGCTAGGCCGTACCTGAGATGAGCCGGCACCGCACACCTTATCAGCGTCTTAGCGAAAAACACCCGCGTCGCGCCGAAAACACCCGCTTCTGCGACGAAAATAGCAACGCAGGACTGCTCTAGGCTCCCTCGGCTTTGAATGTGGCTAGGAGCAGCCGAGCGGATTGTCCGAAACACCGCCGAACAAACTGAATCCGGTCGTACTTACTATTCCTTGATGAGCACCATTTTCTGCTCGCGGGCTGCGACTGCGCGCGCACGCTGATGTCACACGCGGTTATCAACAACTGGCCCGGTCCCGCCTATAGATGCGTACAATTGGTCGAGCTTGTGGCACTTCACGCAAATTATTGGCTCGCAGCTTTGTCTGTCTGGCTCACGGATGGAAGCGTAACTCATCGTCCATCCACAACCAGCCGGTAACGGAACTTAAAGTTTTAAGGGAGTTTTGCGCTGCTTTTACCCGATACTTTACTGAACTTTAACAGACGCTCCAAGAAACAACCGATTTAGGATTCTGAAATGTATGACTGTATTAAACCAACGGAACTCGCTGAACAGTTTTCAAAGATGTTTCAAACTTCTAATAATCTTTGAAGCTTTTTTCGGCATCAATTTTTTGTACTGAGAACTTGAAATCTTTAAAAACTTTAAAGTTAAAATGTATATAAACTAAATTACAAAATGAAAATGCAGCCTTTATATAAATATGATATTCTTTTAATGTTAAGATCCCTTTGTGGTGCAATGAAATGTTAGCGGTGCACGTCATTGTGAATTGGGGAAAAAAGTGCTGTTTTCGGCCACCTAAGTTTATGGGGCTCCGCCTAATGAGGGAAAAAGCAGGAACACCAAAGCATACCTGTGGCCTGTACTACGAAGCGGGGTTTCTGGCTTATCGGGGTATGTTGTCGGATTTAAGGTAGTCTGGGCAAAATGTAAGTGAACGAATATGAAGTGGTACCTTAAATCCGACAAGTTACCCCGATAAACCAGTAACCCCGCTTCGTTGTACAGGCCACTGTTCTCTAATTAGTAATAGCTGATGCTTTTTGTCCGACACGATTATTCACGATTCATGTATACGTGTCACAGGAGTGATTCAAGTTAAAAAACCTCGCCCAAGCGTAGAACAGCAAGCTCAACATTTATTTAATTAGTATACGCTTTTGTCCAGAGGGGAGTACAAGGATCAGCAACGGTGATATAACTTTTCTGCCATCCACGGGATTTGAATCCATGACCTTCCGGACATGGGCGTGGATCCCTGGCTTGTTTTGTAACAGGGACGTAGCCACGTGGTAAAATCATGGGTTTGAACCCTCCTAGAAACGACCAAAGCCAACGATCGTAAAAGATTTCACTCAGCGGTAAAACGATATTTGAGGGGCAGGGTCCCATGGTAACATTTGGCAAGCGACGGGGGCGCAGAAATATGAGACAAATCGCTAATTTTCCTGGGTCAATGCGGATGGAAGCCCTACGCCACAGCGATCCAGGGTTTGGAATCTCTATTGGTGGACACTGGCATATTATCAGATAGAATGATTTAACAGTTTTAAATAATAGACAGGTAAGATCTGTAAATGTGTGGAAAAATTATAACATTGTTACTAGCCCTAAAACCCACATGATAAGGTATGATTTGAATTTTTAAAAAGCGGGTAAACGCGTATATAACGAAGTTTTATATGACGTTATTGTGTTTGTATAATTTAAGGCTTATTTGTTGTGAATGTTACATAATAAAAGTGTATTGCGAGTAATTTAGCATTAATCTGAATTTATATAAAGATTTTTTATATTCTATTCTTCAAATACAGTTTTCTACCATCAATGATTTTTGCTCTAATTACTCAAAAACATTACTACATTAGGATTAAACCTCTACCAAACTAATTTTTCAAATAATGAAGAAATACTAGTAGTAATAATAGAAGAACATAATCAGGTGCGAGAGCAAACGTAATTTTATTGAAACAAATTTACTGATAAATGACTAAGAGAGGAAGGCCTGTTTTTTGTATTTCCCATGTGTTCAAAATTGTGTGTTTAAAAAGTCATACCTTGTACTTAACATCAAACAGAAGATAACCCATGCTTTTTATATAGACACTCAAACTCACAAAGAAATCAGGCCAAATGCCTATTTTTGCTGTTTCAATAAAAATATCTTTTTTTAACCTTCTCTTTTTACATGGTACAGTTTTGTTCGCTTTTAATAATATAAAATGTTTAATACTGATTGTGAAACACTGGATTTAATTTACAAAACATAATAATTATAATAACAATAACAATCAATAATAATATTAATAATAATAACAATAATTAAAATAAAATGAAGCAGACCAATCACAGCTCTGTCGCCTTGGCTTACACAAACAGTACACTTTTTTTTTTGTTGAGGAAATACTGCTTGGTGTTTAAGTCTTTCTGACACGCACAGTGTCAGGTCACAGAGTCATTGTTTTTGCTGTTTACAGTGTTGCTGGGTATTGGGAGAAGATGCTCCTGAGGTTTCCAACCTTAAACAAGTCCCACCCAAGCACATCATGCTCTGCAAGCGCGCTACATCATCTCGACCAATCAGGACGTCCAGGAAGCGCCAAACTCACCCCCATGGACAGAACAGCCAATGGGTGATAACACCAAAGTGGAAGACTCCCGGTCTCAGCATTTGGAGGAGGGGAAGAAACGGCCGGGTGACAGGAATTTATAGCCGTTCCCGGCAGGAAGTCTGACAGGGCGTGCACCAGGACTGCTGCTGGTAGAGGTGGTGGGAGAGGGGGTGGCTTTCCTGGCATTTTGGTGATGGCCATTGGGTGGGTTCCTAGAGCGAGCATCAAATGAGCGTAGCTCTGGGCTATCACCATCATGGCGTGGGGAGAGGTTCAGGAGGTTCAGCACGTCCCTCTTGGCAGTGCCTGTGACTCCAGATCCTCCCCGGAGGACCCGCATGGGACCAGAGTGCTGCTGCCCTGACTGCTGGCCAGCACTGGCCCAGAACGTCTTTAGGTTGTGGATGGCCTGGACCTTCTCATCGATGGCTGCCCTCTTCAGCCGGTCCAGGTCGGGGGCATTGGCCGGGCTGGAGCGCGTAGAGCCTGTGGAGGAGTAGGAAAGAGCGGGGGAGGGGGCGCTGCCAGCAGGAGACTGGTGGCCCGAGCTGGGGGACACGTTGCTGGGGGAGCGCGAGATGTGTCCGCTGTAGGGCGAGCTGGGGTACTTGAGCTTGACCTGGGAGTGGCTGTCCGAGGTGGGGGATGGCTGGCCGGCTTCCTTCAGGGAGGTGTCCGAGTTGGCTGGGCTGCTGTAGCCGGAGCTGACCTTCTGCAGGGAGGACGATCGGGAGGGCGGCTTGGGGCGGGTGGGCAGGGGTGAGGAGTTGGTCTTGGTGCTGTTGCTGCTTTGGGGCCGGCTGAAGGCGCTGGTCTCTGATAAGCGGAAGGCGGAACCTCCGGTTGGAGTGGAGGCCCCGCCCACCGTGCTGCCAGCCCCACCCCTCTGCAAGCTCTCCACCGCCCGCAGGTGGCACTGTGTCTCCTCCAGGATCTTCTCAGCCAGTTCCTGGGGGTCCAGTGGGGGTGCCGCCACCACCCTGTCCTCCTGCGATTTGACGGTGCTGTCGGTCTCGGTGCTGGACTGGTCCGACTCGCCCGTGTCCGAGCTGCTGGCTTTGCCTGCCTTTCGGGCCGGGGGGCTCGGGCTGGCTACAGGGCCCGCTTTGACGGGAGACGTGGGTGTGCTGACACTACCCCGTGTAGAGACAGATGCCCCATAGCCCCGCCCCACGCCGTCACCGGCCACACCCCCCCTATGTGCCTTCCTCCGTGGCAGAGGCAGAGAGTCACAATGGCTGCCCAGTGGCTCACTGCTGATGATGGAGTACCCCTGATACTCCTCCTCCTCCTTGCGGCCACCTGCCGCCCCGTGTGGCGAGGACCGGCTCCTTGGGACACTCCCGTGGCGTCCTGAGAAAAGCCCCGCCCCGCCGCGAAGGCGCTCCTGCTCCATCTGCCGTGCACGCTGGCCCTGAAAATCGCCACCGCACTCTGGTTTGGACACAAAGCTCAAGGACGAGGCTACGGAGCTCAGGCTGTACACGGAGATGGCATCTGATGCCAGGCTATCGGGGCACGGAGGAGAGAAGGGTGGGTGGGGGTAGCCTAGGGGCAGCGGGTTCGACACGGACTGGGCCGAGGCCAGCGATTCCAGGGAGGATGAGCTGTCCAGGCTGAGGCGTTTCGGCAGCTCTGTGGAGTCTGAGACAGAGAGAGAGATGTTAGTACTTGGGGCTTATAGGGAGGCAGGAGAGCCCAGCTACCCTTACTGGGGGGCGTCGGATGGGCAATTTGAGGAACGTACCGAAGAGCGCCAGCAGAGACTGCAGCGCGAAGTGCAGTGTGCGCCAGTTCGCCTGCTTCCCGGTCCTCAGGACCACCTCCTCTTGGCCCACCTCGCACAGGTCAAACCCTGGCACACAGATGGGTGGGCATTGAACAGGAAGCTGTGCACATGGGTCTACGTTTTGTGCAAATTCTGCATTTTCAATGACTGCTCACCCAGACAGGAAGCACACACAGACACACACAGTCACACAGGGAGGGAAATTTAGGGTCACTAATTTAGACACCTGTCATATCTACAATACCACTCAAAAGAACACACCAAGCCACCTACAAAGCAGACAGAAAGAGTCATCACATGACCAGGTCATGTGACCTAAGCACAGCAGAAATGGTTTTAGAGGAGTTTGACTAGAGAGTGAAAGAAAAGCAGCCAATGAGAGCTCAGCATATATGTGGGACCTCCTTCAGGACAGCTGGAAAAGCATCCCAGTATTCATTTAGTCGGTTTATATACAGCATTGCGTAAAAGTCTTAGGTGCATTAACATAAGAAAATTGTTTTTAAATGATCTGCTGGTGATATTTGGCCTCTCAAAGTGTGTTACTTTTTACCACAGCATTTGCAGTGACCATCCAATACGCCCCAATGCATTTGCTGACCTGACCATTAGCACACTATGTTCAGCTAATCAATACTTATTCAAATAATTAAGTGAGCTGCTAGTGAAATTGAACAAATTCATGCAATGGTTGAGGTTCCCCGCAGGAGAGGTTTGGAAACCTATGCAGTGTTCATCTAGCCATCCAACAAAATATCAATAATTTTTGGAGAAGGGTTTCTTGCTATTTCTATTATGTTATTGTTCATTTGCATATATTCTAATGTTATTTCTTTCAGAGGAAATATACACTTTCTGCCTAGATACATTGCTTTGATTATCTCAGACCTTTGCACGGAATTGTATGTTTTTATATACAGACGCTCCTCTACTTATGAACTTTCAGACATACGAACGAAGAGGCCTGTATGTAAAAATTGTTTTCATTGGGCTCCCATTTCCTGTCCACATCAATTTTTTTTTCTGCCCGCCAATTCCAGGTAGTATGACTTCTGGCCGCTACTCCCGTCGCGCAGCAGTGTAGTGTGCGTACTCCCAGCATCCTAATTCTTTGTACTTGTGTATACCCTTAAGATAACGACTTTCAAGTTACGTTCGGAACGTATTTCATTCGTAAGTAGAGGAGCGTCTGTACTGCATTTGTTCCTGTGTATTACTTTGGGTGTCTGATGGTCCAGCACAGGGCATCACATATCCACATCCCAGGAGGGGGAACCACACATCCACATCATGGGGGCGGGAATCACACATCCCAACACAAGACACCACACATCCACATCCTGGGGCAGGGCATCACACATCCACATGCTGGGATGGGGAACCATATATTCACATATCAAGAGGGGAAACCACACATCAACATCTTCGGATAGGGAACCACACATACATATCCCAGGACAAGACATCACACATCCCAGTACAAGACACCACACATCCACATTCTGGGACAGGGAACCACACATACACATCCCAGGACAAGACATCACACATCCACATTCTGGGACAGGGAACCACACATACACATCCCAGTACAAGACACCACACATCCACACCCTAGCACAAGACACTACTCATCCACATCCTGGGACATTAGTGTGTCACTTAGGTACTATGTGGGGGGGAAAAAATCATAAATTCTTTACTCTCACCCTCCAAATTTGTTCCATGTGGTCAAAAGTTAATGTGTGCCAAAATATTTCATAATTGTGTAAGGTTTACAGGTCGCCCATCTACATTTTAGTTTATATCTGTATATCTACCAAACTTCTGTATATTATGCTAATTTATCCCCATCATCTACACTGTCATCTGCTCACTTAACTTATTTGTAGATAAACTGTACATAACTATTCCCACCTCTGTACATACTCTAACTGTACAAATTGTACATACTGCACATATTGCACTTGCTACTCTCTGCACTTCTGATTAGATGCTAAACTGTATTTCGTTGCCCTGTATTTATACGTGTAATGACAATAAAGTTGAATCTAATCTAATCTAATATCACAAAATAGATGATGTTATACACAGCATATTTACCAATTAGACAATTTGTTTATGCTCAAGAACATAGATAGAACATGTAATAATGGTTTATTTGCAATAAATTGTACAGTGTACTGCACTAACACATAGTTAAATGTGATTCTTATAGTCAACCTACAAACTCTGTTTTAATACACAGTTCTGTGGTGTCACAGTCGCTAAAATTCGGTCTTCCTTGTAGTAGGATGTAGCTGACGATGATCAGAAACAACCTGCAAGAGAAACTGCAGGTCATCTTCATCCATAGTGAGTGTCTTCTTGTATTCCTAGATCAGTGCCACTCCCCTCTCTGCAGTATCATTGACAGCTTTGAGGGTCGATAGGCAACGTTTTGCACCAATGTATCCTTCCTGTGATGCCCAGGTATCTGGATCAGTGGACAGGAAGTCAGCTGGCAAGTTGAGGCAATGAAACAGATTCATGGAGTTGCTGGTTACAAACTGATCCAGAGTGAAGGACTAGAAATCCTTCAGATCAATTTCTGCTCACTTTGGTGGTTTGTCTGTGCCTTTCTTCTGCATTGCTGCAACCACAAGTCTCTTTGTTGAGGAGAAGACTCGGTCATCAAACAGAGACAAACCCACAAGTTATTGGGATAGATACCAGAGATGGGAAGACAGTTTCTTGGCTGTGGCTGTTGAGATAGCTTTGTGGATGGATGAATATTGAAGGAGACTGTTCATCAGTTGTAGGTCATTGAGAGGAACGGAAAAGGCTGAAGGGGCTGAATATTGAAAATCTAACATTTTAAATTTAGAAATTACAGATAAGACTGATGAAAACTAGGACACATAAAGTTCCTCTCTCCATTCTCCAGCTTATTGAACTTGTTTTTTTGTGTCTTAGCCCATAGCCCTGTAGTAAAACAGGCTACTTACTTGTTGCAATAATGCAATATAAACACATGAAAACAATGCATTTAATATATTGCAATGCATATATTACCTTATCTTTTGATTGAAGGTGAATAAACAGCAGATTGATTATCTCTGAAGTTACTATGCTCGAAACTACACTGCAAACTGAATAGCTGGTAAAAAAGAGCAATTAAACACCAGCAGAAAACAAGATGACTGACTGTTTTGTTTCTGCTTTCACAGAAAAGCTAAAAGATCACTATCAGAAATATAAATAAGTAAAAGATTGGTGTGGTTACTGAGATTAGTGAGATAGGTACCTGTGAAAGTGTGGTCATTAAGGTGTAATTAAGGCTACAATACAAAAATTCAGAGGCCTTGGGCTACCTGTAAATGTTAATACTTTTAAGTTAAAAATTTTTCTGGGTCCATTTTATCACCAACAGAATATATCTAGTGGTGAGAGATGTGTATTTCAGACTTTTATTTTTAAGTGACACCCTTAATGGGTGTCACTTAAAAATGGGACATGGAACCACACATCCACATCCTGGGACAGGGACCCACACATCCACATCCTGGGACAGGGACCCACACATCCACATCCTGGGACAGGGACCCACACATCCACATCCTGGGATGGGGAATCACACATTCTGACACAGGGAACCACACATCCACATCTTGGGACAGGGAACCACACATCCACGTCCTGGGACAGGGAACCACACATACACATCCCAGTACAAGACATCACACATCCACATCATGTGAAAGGAAACCACACATCCACATCCTGACACAGGGAACCACACATCCTAGGAGGGGGGACCACGCATCCACTTCCCAGCACAACACATCCACATCGTGACACAGGGAACCACACATCCTAGGAGGGGCAACCCCACATCCCGGGAGGGCGGACCATACATCCTCAGCACAACACACCATACATCCACATCCTGACACAGGGAACCACACATCCTGGGAGGGGGAGCCACACAGCCACTTCTTGGGAGGGTGAACCACATTCACATCCCAGCACAATACACTACACATACACAACCTGGGACAGGGAAACAAACATCCGCATCCTGGGAGAAGGAACCGCATACCCACATCCTAGCACAAGATACAACGCATCCACATCCTGGGAGGGTGAACCACAAATCCACATCCTGGGAGGGGGAACCGTATATCCTAATCCCCACACAAGACACCACGCATCCACATCTTTGGACAGGGAACCACACATCTACATCCTAGCACAAGACACTACACATCCACATCCTAGCAGGAGGAACCACACATTCACAGGCTGACTTACCCAGTGCAGCCAGAAACTCGTGGCAGCCAGGTAGCCTCCAGAGCTGGACGCTGATGGACACCTGAATGGGCGCCAGTGAGAAGTCCTGCTCCTTTTCACCCGTCTGCAGCTGGACCAGAACCTGGTGGAGCTACAGAAGACAGACAGCCAGAGGGGGTGCCTTTAGCATAGCATGTACACATGTTCAGTCACTTGTACATGGCAATGGAGGACTTCAAGAGCACACAGAGCTGAGGCTCAACCCGCATGCCAAACGTGATGAGTCAGTTCTGCAAAATGGACCGTGATGCTCAGGAAGGTTAGTGATGGATATGGTGGTGAATTACAAGGAACCTGAAGGTTGTTGGGTGAAGTTCCATGACAGGTACTGCTGTCTTACCACTGAATGTTGACCTTATATAAATTCTTCCATTGAAAAAGCCATTTGTATAAATAGCTACATTGTGTAATTTTCACTAAGCAACTGACCAAATGTGAGCAGTCACCTCCTTAGAAAGTCGCTACTTCAAATCTATTTAGGCTGAATTCCTCCATTAAAATCCACAGCAATACAATCAGTAAAATTGTGCCTTATTGACTATGATATTTATTAGACTATGACAGCCACAAATATAAAAAACATCCTCAGAGTTAAAAAGCTTTACCCATCAACCTTCTTTCAAAGACTTTTCTTCTCCCAGGTATAAGGGGATGAAATTACTGAGTGGATGTTGATATAATCAAAGCAAAACCAGTGGATGTCCCAGACTAAAACTCTGGTGTTTATCTCAGCTCCCTTCCTTAGAGGTATGTCTCATTCAGGGGGAGTCTGGTGCCATCACATTTTACATTCTCTCCGGTAAAAGCACTTGGCCATAAGCCGTGAATGAAAGGTTCACATTGAGGTTAATCCTTATTTTCTCGAGATTGTGTTTTTCAGCTGCTCATTACCAGGGTCTAACCACGGGACACCGCACCGGGATGAGGAGTGGTGGGAGAAATTTCTCTGATGGATGGACCCCAACCCGGCACTAGGCCCATCCCAAATTTCTCTGTGTGTGGGGGGGTTATGTATTAGTTCTGGCCTTTGTTGAAGGCACATTTCATCAGAAGGTAATCTCTTCCATCTGCTAAGAGGCTGTCGGTGTTTCAGCACCGAGGGCCCACTCCGGGGGGGCATGGGACAGCACCGGTAAGCAATGATGGCCAGGAATGAGATGTTACTTTGGGGTGGAAGACTTACCATTCCCACCATGTTTTTAACAGCCTTCAGCCAGCAGGTTAAAATGAGGAGAAAGAGAGAAGGTCTTAGTATCGTGCCGGGGGGGGGGGGGGGGGGGGGTTGTCCAACGAAAACGTGCATTTAAAACCAGCCAGGAGCCAAAGCACTGATGCTGGGCACCACAGAAACATTCCCAGCAAACAATCAAGCATTACGAGATAATATGGTACAAGCCATATAAAGAGTACAGCACGGTGCACGTGCTCACAATACAAAATGAAACAATATGCTGCACATTTACACTAGAACTTCAGTGTTACACTTAGATCAGTAATATGCACTCCTACAACTGCAATAAACTTAATCAACTCTTAAATCACTGCTTCCACAGAAACTCCTAAAAAGATTCACTGTGCTGTGCAATGTAAATAGCTGGACAGTCAGTGCTCCAAATGAAGCATCAGTCATTTCTTGTGAACGGAGCCCTGTCTATACCACATGGTTGCGGTGACGACGTAGCATTGCATGCCTACCCTGTTGATGAGCTGCTCTCCCGTCTCAGAAGCCGTGACAAGCTTGCAGAGGGCCATGAGGGCAGGGGGTGGCAGCCCTATGAGGAAGAGCAGCAGTACACCCCATCACAAACCACAGCCCCCCAGTTTATTACTGTAATGCCATTTGCATCAATATGACAAGAAATTATCGTCCATTTTAACCTTTATACACTAATTCGTACTTCATTTGCAATATAGAGGTTAAAATGCACAGTAATTTCTTGTCATATTGGCGTAAATGCACATAAAATACATATGTATTTGCACTGTTACATTAATCGATTGCCGCACATATTGCTTTTAAAAGTGAATGCGTACTTGCGTACCAGTTATGCCAATCCCTGCTTATAAATAATAATAATAATAATAAAGTCCTATGACAATCACATTTGCCAAACTGACTTTTTTGTCAAATAACCAGCTATCAATCTTGGATTGTCTGCAGCTGGTTGCTAACATGTCTCCTTGAGTACAATTCTTTGTTTTGTTCCAGCTAATGAAACAACATGAAAAAAAATCCTGAAAGTCTGTTACAGGAGCTAGCTCCACGAGGCAGGATTTGAGTTTGTGATTGAGAAATACCTGTTATTTACTTCTCTTAACCTCACTGTTTTGTTGATCTATCCATATTATATAGGATCTTTTTGGCCTTTTCATCCTGTTTTATTTTTTTAATTTTGTGTATTGTACTTCGTTTCATTTCTTTATTTTGCTTATTTTGTAACATTTTACTACATGTATTTGCTTATTTCTTTTATTTTTAGATTAAGGTCATATCTAACAAATATTCAATAGTTTGTCAGTCTAGGCCAATGCAAGTCCTCTACCCCTCTTGTTAATAGTGGTGTCCCTCAGGGGACAGTTCTTAACCCCTTTCGCTTTTTAATTTACACCTTGCCCTTTGGTGAGATCATTCGTAGTCATGGCTTTCACTTTCTCTGCTACCCAGATAATATTCAGTTTATGTGTTTGCAATCGGCCATAGAATCCCCTCTCAAAACACCAATGGCATGCGCCTCTGACTTGATGATAACTTTCTCAAGTTGAACACTAACAAAATTGAAGTTTTAGTGGTAGGTCCCATATTTTTATTATCCAAAACATCTGATTTCTCTGTGTGTATTGAGGGTGTGTCTGTATTACTAGACCCATCGATGAACTTCATTCAGCATATCAAGTCCCTCACCAAAATTACACTTTACCACGTCCATACTAATGCTCACCTTTGTCCATTGCTGACTAGTAATGATGCACAGACTCTGGTTAATGCATTCATCATGTCCCATATTGACTATTGTAATTCCCTTCTCACTGGCCTTCTTGATGAATCTTTGCTAAAGCTTCAGTTTATTCAGAATTCTGCTGCAGGACTCCTCACCCATAACAAGCACTCTGCTCTCCTCACCCCCATTCTCTCACAGCTACACTGGATACCAGTTCTGTCTCGTATCAAATTCAAAATCTTGTTACTCACCTTCAAAGCACTGCATGGCCTCCTGACCCCTTACTGTCTCTCTCGTTCTCTCTGGTTATCTAGCTGTAATCTGCTCCTTGTCCCTTGCACCAGGCACCTCACAATGGGTGGCAGGTCGTTCAGTGCCATTGTCCCCCAGACTTTGGAAATCTCTTCCTCAGTCTTTCTGTGACTGTTCTTCGTGTTTTACTTTTAAATCTGACTTAAAGACCTTCCTGTTTATTGAACATTTCTCTTCATAAACTGCTTAAATGTTTTTTTTCCCATTCTCCTTCTTGTAAAGTGACCTTGGGTTTGTGAAAGGCACTATATAACAGTAATCTATTATTATTATTATTATTATTTCTTTTTCTACAATATGTTTGACCTGTACATTAGTTGCGTATTTTATTCAGCTTCCATATGTGAAGCACATTAAGCTGCATTTCATGTATTAAAAGTGCTATATAAAGAAAAAATACTATTATTGTAATGTCAAGCTCCAAGAGGATCATGCTGATGTACAGCTGCATTCACTCATTAAACAAGAGCAACAATAAGGACTGCCGAGGCCAGGCCGTGCCACAGGCTCCCCCGCTCCCTCCTTACCCAGCAGGGACTGCAGCGTGGTGCTGCAGTGCTGCAGCCGGTCCCCGGGGTCAGCCGTGGGGAAGAACACGGCAGCAGGGAGCCCGGTGCCGGCCGAGTCGAGCCGGAAGCCCACGGCGGTCAGCAGCGCCTGCCAGCCGGGCACGCCGCCCACCTTGTTTTCCACGCTCTGCTGCGACGTGTACATGGAGTTGCGCTGGCCGTTCTGGATGCGCTGCAGGGACTTCTCCACCTACCAGGGAGGGGGGACAGGGCAGCGACAAAGGGCCGTTACCGAGAGAGAGACTCCATCTGTCGGTCTGGCCATTCGCATAGTCCAAAATATCCATCAATCTTCCCATCCAGTACGGAGTTGTGGAGAGTAATTTAGGGCACTTTTCCACTGCACTGAGTATGGAGTACTTTTGGTACGGTACTTTCTGTACTTTTGCTTTTCCTTTGGTCGAGTACCAGTACCAAAAGTTCCAATACCGAAAATGCCAAACCAGTTGCGGTACTTTGGGGTGGGACTTGAAATGCTTTCTTTGTCAGTTGGTTATGCAAATAGCCGCTTCTGAAGCACAATACAAACGCCGCCTTGAAAACAGATTTAAAATCAGAAAAAAATGATAAAGTAAAAAAAAAAAAAGAAAGTGATTTGGTCATAAGAATATATCCAACAAAAAGATCCGGATGGCATGACAAGAAAAAAAGATAAGAAAAAGTATTTTGTTGAATATACACTATATCGCCAAAAGTATTTATACATAGGATTTAATATTGAGTTGGGCCACCCTTTGCAGCTATAACTCTTCTGGGATGGTTGTCCACAAGGTTTAGGGAATTTTTGACCATTCTTCCAGGAGAGCATTTATGAGGTCAGGCACTGATGTTGGATGAGAAGGCCCGGCTCACAGTCTCTGCTCTAATTCATCCCAAAGGTGTTCTATCGGGTTGAAGTTACAGTAGGGCTCTGTGCAGGCCAGTCAAGTTCCTCCACACCAGACTCGCTCATCCATGTCGCTATGGACTATGCTTTGTGCACTGGTGCGCAGTCATTTTGGGACAGGAAGGGGCCTCCCCAAACTGTTCCCACAAAGTTGGGAGCATGGAATTGTCTAAAATGGCTTTGAATGCTGCAGCATTAAGAGTTCCTTTCACTGGAACTAAGGGGTCAAGCCCAACCCCTGAAAAACAACCCCAACACCATAATCCCCCCTCCATTTAAGGCTTTGATGCAGCTGCTCAGCCATGGAAACCCATTCCATGAAGTTCTCTACACACTGTTCTTGAGCTAATCTGAAGGCCACACAACATTTGCAGGTCTGTAGCTATTGACTCTGTAGATAGTTGGTGACTTCTGTACACTGTGCGCCTCAGCATGCATTGTCGACGCTCTGTGATTTTACGCAGTGGTGGATGAAGAACTGAAGCTTAGTACTTAAGTAAAAGTACAAATATCCTGCAAAATATGTACTAAAGTAAAAGTAGAAGTGCTACATTAAGTGAAAGTACCAAGTACTTACTTTTAAATTTACTTTAAAGTATTTTTTTAAGTAAAAGTACTCACACAATGGTTTGTCTCAACGTCTGGGGTGTGCCATTTTGTAAAAGAATAGTAGATATACTGACTTACGCCTCTACCGATGTCATTGCTCGTAATAATTACAAACAACTATACAGTATATGTGTATTGGCTCTGGGTCCATGTTGAATGTCTCGTCTTCTCGAAAACAAGCCAGTCTACCAGCTCGTGCTGCTAATTGACGCGCGCTCTGCCATCATTGGATGGCACCACATTTTTGCTCCCTCCCAGCTCCCAGCCAATCAGGAACACCGAATAGCTGGTACATGTGCATGTGTAAAGGTCACCCATGAGCTATCCTGCATTAGAAACAGGATGTCCAATTAGATCTCAGCTAACATTTAAACTCCTATTCTGTTTAACACCGCACCGAAAGCAGAGTTGCCAGGAAAGCTGTAAGAACAGGGGTCCGGGGAAGGTGTCCATCACTCACCAGGTGCAGAAGGACCCGCAGGGCATCTCGGGCCCGCTCAGGGTGCTGCAGGATCTCCGCCAAGGCCTGACCAATCAAAGATGAGGGGCTGTTCAGCTTGACATCACTGCCAATCAGCATGAAACCTAACCGGAAATGAAAGGCGGACAGGTGAGCCATTCTGAATTAAACATCTTAAGCAGATGATCTTTCAAAGGTAAACACTATACCTTTCTCGCAGTACTGAAAACTGTAAACATATTGATAGAATCAACGGCTTACAGCAATTTGTAGGAGTACTGTTTAAGAAAGTGAAAGTAATTATTCATGGTAAGAGAACAATGTATGTACAGAAGTTTCAGGGACAGGAAGGAATATGACCTGCCCAGTTTGAGGGCGGGGTTAGCAGGAGTACTGACCTGCCCAGTTTGAGGATGGGGTTAGCTGGAGTACTGACCTGCCCATTTAGAGGGTGGGGTTAGCTGGAGTACTGACCTGCCCAGTTTGAGGATGGGGTTAGCTGGAGTACTGACCTGCCCATTTA